CGCGCGTTTGGCAGCTGCCGCTCCTGCCTCGGACCTCGGACCTATCTGCCCGGCGCCCGCCCTGCCCCGCCCCGCCCCGCTCCGCCACCGCGGCTAAATTTACCCAGTGTTGGACGCGGCTTGGGCGCGGGCCGCCGTGGTGGTGCTGGCCGCCGTGGACGTACCGCCCGCATGGCTGTGGTCAGTCGCCGCGCCGCCCCTCCCCGCCTTGGTCGCGCAGGCTGTGCCGCAGGCCAGGCCGAGCCCCGAGCCGAGCGTTGTTGTGACGCTGGCGCGCTGGCGCCGCGGGCCCCCTCTGGGCTTGTTGAGCTGGAGGCCTGGTTCCTGCCGCCCGCCGGGCCTCCCGAAGGCCCTCCCGACCATGGTCTCGGCGGCTCCCCCGCGCCCGGGTCCCCCGGGCCGCCCCGCAGCCTGCGCCTGCAGGGCCGCACCGTGCTGCGCCACTACGGCAGCGTGCTGCACCTGCACTACTACAGCAACAACCCCTCCCTGCGGCTGCCGGCCATCTCCGAGGAGGAGGCCGAGGTCTACCGCCCGGACCAGATCAAGGAGTTTGACTGCGTCGACCCGGCCTGGAAGACGGACATAGCCGAGGCGCTCGACAAAGGTGGGGCGAGGGCTCTCGTGGTGGGGACCGAAACGAATGTCAATTTGAATGAGGCTCTGCGCCGCCGCGCCGCCACGGGCCGATGTGGTCCTGCCTCCTCGTCTCGGGCTGGGCCGGCTGGGCGGCCCCACGCTCTGGTGATACGATATCAGAGTGATAGCAACCCGCTCAGTAGCTGACCGGCCGGGTCGCAAACCAGGTGACGCCGCACGGCGCCGAGCCTGAGCCTGAGCCTGTGCGTGCGGGGCGGGACGGGACGGGGGCGGGGAGTGCCACGGGAAGGCAGGCGCGCCGTCTGGAAGGGCCGAAACCGGAAGGGCTAGGTCGGCCAGAGAGCTGGGCCCGAGAGTTGGGCTGCGTGGCGATCGCTAGGCCCAGCGGCGTGACAGGGCCCCGCTCTGTGCGACCAGCATGCGCCGCCGTTCCAGAATTGTCGTTATCAGCCGTGAGTTGACTGACTGCGGACTGCGGGCGGAGCCGTGGGGGTTCGGGAGGGGGTGGGGGGCCTCGGCGACAGCTTCTTCACCCCTTCCCCTTACCTCCCATCGCCACCCCCCTTCCCATTCGCCGCCACTCTTTGATCCAAAGATAAATTAGTCCTAATCAGTCCTAATTGCTCTGCCCGATTAAGCTCAGCGGTCACCTTAACTTTATTTTCTTTCAATAACGGTTGTATATATTTTTTTAGGATCGCACCATCCTTAATCAAGTAACTTGTACCTATTTTTTGTTTATTGTTGCAGAGGAGGATGAAAGTCAAATTCTTGTCAAGTTCTTCAAGTTCCATAAATGTTATGATCTTATTCCTACTAGTGCAAAGCTTGTTGTGTTTGACACACAACTTCTTGTTAAAAAAGCCTTCTTTGCACTTGTTTACAATGGTACAGTATATCTCTATTTCTAGCCAGCTACATTGTTTATTTTTACTCCGACATATACAACAAACACATTATCTGTCTTTTGTATGCAGGTGTTCGGGCAGCACCATTATGGGACAGTGCGCAGCAGAAGTTTGTGGGAATGCTGACCATCACTGACTTTATTAAAATCTTACAAATGTACTATACTTCTCCATCTGTAACAATGGATGAGTTGGAAGAGCATAAATTAGATACTTGGCGAGGTAAGTCCCTAGAAGAAATCCTTTTGCTTTATGTGTCCCTTTCCATCTCGATCACATATTTCTGATGTATTTTCTTTGTTCAATACTTATAGAGGTTTTGAAGGACCAAGAAATGCCTTTAGTAAGCATTGGACCAGATGCATCTCTGTATACAGCAATTAGCACATTGATTAGGAACAGAATACACAGACTTCCTGTCATTGACCCTGAAACGGGAAATGTGCTGTATATTTTGACGCATAAGCGTATCCTTCGGTTCCTATTTCTTTATGTAAGTATGAGTCACTTTATGTCTCATTCATTACCCATTGCAGTTAACAGGATGCTCATTTGTCTTTTCCTTTCTCTTCTCCCCTACTGAAACGAAAAACAGATTCATGACCTTCCTCGCCCCAGTAATATGAATAAGACACTCAGAGAATTAAAAATTGGTACTTATGATGGTATTGAAACAGCCAGTGAAGAGACCTCAATTATTACTGCTTTAAAAAAGTTTGTGGAAAGGAGAGTCTCAGCTCTACCAATGGTTGACACAGAGGGACGCTTAGTAGATATTTTTGCCAAATTTGATGTCATTGTAAGTTTCCCAATCATAAGCCTTTTTTAAAAATTTGCTAGGTATATGATCATGTATAATGTTCTGAAACAACTGTTTTCTTTATCTTTAGAACCTTGCAGCTGAAAAAACTTACAATAATCTTGATGTATCTCTCAAAAAAGCCAATGAACATAGAAATGAATGGTTTGAGGGTGTACAAAAGTGCAAATTAGATGAAACACTTTTTACAATCATGGAGAGGATAGTGCGAGCTGAGGTACATTTACTTCTGTTAATCGGTAATGACTATTACTTTGCAAAGTAAATGGCTTCATAACATTGTTCCAATTATTCCAGGTTCATCGACTGGTTGTTGTTGATGAGGAAGACAAAGTTATTGGAATTATATCATTGTCTGATTTACTATTGTACCTTGTCTTGAGACCTTGTGGTGAGTTCATACTTGACCTTTTTTGTTTTTTCTGTGTATTTTGAAAAATATATTTATCAATAATCTACAACTATGTCATAATTTTGCTTAGGTGAAGATGGCAATTCTGAAAGTTGCTCATCAGTGAGAAATCGAACTGACTCCCAGTCAGAGAAAAATCCTGAAGAACCAGAAACCTCTGAAGCCAGTGAAGAGGCTAAAGAGGGAACTAAGTCATCATTAGAATCATCAGAAGTTGCAATGCAGGAAGATACGACAGCACAGCAAGATTCACTTCCCAATGAAATCGAGGATAGTGGAGAAATATCTGAGACTGCAGAGACAGCTGAAAAATCATCAAGCAGTGTAGATGTAGGTGCTGGATGGAGAGAAGTGACAGTCTCAGGAGGAGAGTGAATTATTTATATTTGGAATCAAGGGTTTTATCTGTGAAAAGGACAAGAAAACTGTGAGTGAAAGACCCTTCATAGTAAAATTTAATTACAAGTACTTGAGAGTGAAAGATTGAATGAAAGTGAATTTGTTGAATGAGAGAATATTTGAGTGTATGAGCATGTAGTGAGCAATCTGCGGGTTTCATTTGATATTTATATTTGCTCATTGCCCCATTTGTATTGTTTGTCTTCTTATAAGACCTTGGCGATTGTAGTCATTATTACTGTACTGTTATATTAGTCATTTATGAAAGCAGTCCTGTGCAAGTGCAGACAAGCAGTGGCCTGAATGCCTATTTTTGTTAGAGATTTTTTTAGGGGGGGAGGGGGGTACTATTAGATGAATGGTGATGAGAGAGAAGCTTCGACTGCCTTTCAGTTATTTCTTTAAATTAAATTTTTATTTGAAAATTTGAAATAAAATTTGTAAGCCAGTGACATAATATTCATTGCTTCCCGCCCTGTAAGGGGAGGCTGAAATTATTTGCTCCTTTGTGTGGCCTATTGTAATTCGATTTAGTTCCTCTAGAAAGGCAATTTTTTTTATTAAGTATGTGAACAGAACATTTGTAAAATTCCTAATACCTGCAAGTCTGGTTGAATAGAAATTGATCTATTACCTAGTTAGTATGTTTGTGGTACAGCTGCATTGTGATTTTAATTTTGGGGCTCGGTGTATGCTTAAAATATATTTAAAATACCTGACTCAGATTGTCAGAACAGTGATCCAAAAGATATGTAAAAAGTGAGGTGTGCCATATGGCTTTCATTCTGACTGTTTTCCTTTCCAACTGAAAGGTGGAAAGGGAAATATTTTTGTGCTGTTTAACATGAATGGATGTTATTATAAAGCAGTATGGAGTGTATGTTTAAAGTAACATGATTCATTTTTAAGGTAATCACACCAAATATGTTGCGCAGATGAATTTGTGATAATGTGACTTGCAAGTGTGTTTGTACATTAATATGGTGTAGCCAGGGTTTGAAACTTGGACAAATTTGTTTTTCTCATGAAATTATCTCTTGTAAGGCTGTCATTAAGTTATATAAATAATAAGTCACCCGTTAATTCTGATGTCTGCACATTTTTACCCTTTACATTTCTATGTAAAAAACCACAAGCTATCTAAATCAAACCAACAAATCATTGACAGTACGTAATTTACTCAGATCATACATAGTTCAATTACACTTAATTACAAACAGTCATAAAACAATTTATTTGTCAGTCTTTTTACATCATATTTCACAGTCATGAAAAGCAGTTTAACAAAGGCAACATTAAGAGCTGTGCAAATTGTTCAATACTGAATCAAATCGAATCGGCCCAATTAAAATTCGGCAGATTTCGTATTTGTCTGATTTGATGCTAAACAATTTTAAGTTGCATCTGTTCCACTTTGAATCAACAAACTAAGAGATTATAGACCACTTGCGGAACTGTCAACTTTGTAATCATCAGCAAACGACTAAATCAATATGATATGTGATAACAAATTCCGAATTTTTACCTTTGCTAATAGTTTGGATTCAACTTTCTTAATTTACTGGAATTTATGTGGACTCGAATGAATGAGGATTTGGAGCAGAGAAAATTTGTGAGATTTTGACCAATTCAATTTAAATGCAAAAACCTCAATTTGCACAGCTCCTGCAATATTACACTAAGTACAGAGTACACAATGAAATCATGCTTCATCACTACTGCAGTCAGTACTACTATCAGTGCACTTAGTAAAGTAACCTTTGTTGCCACGCTTTGTGTACCTAACAAATGGTTCACTGCTGATGACAAGTTCAGGTAACTCTTGTTTTAGCTGAGAAATAATTTTTGGGGGTATTCCTTTATTCAGGAATGATCCTAACACATTAAGATGCCTTAAATTAGGAATGTATCGTGGAAGTTTCTGTATATGTCTCATGCGAAGACTAAGTCTATCAACTATACATAATTTCTGCAGAGAAGGAACAGATTTTATAATGTTAGCACATGATGTAATGCCATGCAGATTAAGTGTCTCTAACTTATTACATTGTTTGGCTATTGCTGTCGCAAGAAGCCCTGGTATATAGAACAATGTCAGTTCCTTCAAATTTCCAAACACAGGGCAATCTCGAACAAAGCGATTCATTTTACTTTTCAGAACTCCATCACTCCACCTAATATGTAATGATTCTAAGGATTGCAGAGTACTTATACATCTTAAGTCATCTAGACATAAAGTTATTTCTTTCAGCTCAGTGCAGGATGAGACTAGTTCGAGGACCCCGACATTTGATTTAAACTGTGGAAGTTTTAGTGTTTTGAGGTGTGACTTCACATTATCCAGAAATGGTTTATACGAGTCAGATTCATCTTGAATGAGGCTAACATCAAGGTGATGGAGGTTCAAACATCCTCTTTCCAAAACCTTTTTATCCCACTTGGTATCAAAATATCCAGAGAGTTTTAGGCTTCTAAGTTGGGACATTTGGCCCAGCTCAGCATCAAGATTCCGATAAATACTACTATGTTTATTTGCATACCCCTCCAAGTGCAACTCACAGACATACTTTTTGTAATGACCAAGTATGCGAGAAGCAACGGCAGCAGGAAACAAACTCAAATTGTAGTGAACTTTCCGTATGTCTTTAGGTCCCTTGCATATAGCATTAACAATGGCAGCAGGGTCCCCACAAAAAAGGGGATTAAGACTAAGCTGTTTAAGGGCTGGAGCCACACTTAATACAAATATAAAAAGATCTTCTCGGCTGTTTTCATAAATTAGTTCTTTATCGCACCACAGTGTCCTGAAATACAAAGAATCCTTCCAGCGCTGACATACTTTGGAAACATTTAGGGCTAGATCTTCGACACTCAACCAAGAAAATATTAGGACTAGAAGTTCGGTTGGGAGAGAATGAACGGCAGCCTAAAACGAAAACAAAGAATATAATTATCTTTCAAAACCAGTCCCATATAGAAAATAAATAATACTCCACATAAAACAAGCCGTTTCGTCAGGTTAGAGAAATGGGGAAATAATGGATATAGGAAGAATTGTACCGTTCCAGAGTCATCTGAGACCTCCTCTTCGATTTTCATTGATTCTGAACACAAAACATTCATTTCTTCGAACTTCACTTAAATTTTTTCAATGCTGCTTTGATAAATCGTGATGAGAACCGATGAGAACACTCAAATATGTCTGCTGATTTGTTTACCGACAACAGCACTGCACATACCTCGCTTCTGTCTTATTTGCAGTATCGAAGCGGCTGCTTGGACTGTATCATTTTGCAAATGTCACTCAAAATATGTTCATACGTCATGCCTAGCCCTACTGTCAGCTCAACTTAAGTAACTTTCACTGTTTTGCGTCAGAATGGGCTCAGTTTCCTTCAAATTTCCGACTTCATTCGGGGACATGTAAGTAATCTGAAAACACTGTAGAACATAACCCCTAAATTTGTGATCTTTAATCAAAAGATACTTCACTTACTCCATTTGAACGAGGCTAAAATAAGGTCTTCCTATCTTACATGTCGGTGAATATGTCTCTAAATGAATTTTATCCACCACGATTCAGTGTACTTTTTTCCAACAATTTGTTTTACACAAGTTAACAAGTTAATAATCAATTTAAGACGTACTGTTTTTGAGAGTTTGACAGATGTTTAAAATATTGTGTCTCTGTAAGCAGCCATCCCCCACCACCAGATCCTCCAGTTGTCATTGTTTCGTTTTTTGGGAAGTCATCCTACATCTCTAGAGGCTTCAAAGGAAGTGCTGTTGATGATGCCCTTGGACGTCAAGTCTTCTGCTCATCAGTGTTAGACTTTCCTCAGGTTGATGGTGATGCTCACGTGAGTGGAAAAGTCTGGAAATGTGTCTAAATTTTAATATTTCATTTTGAAACATGTAATTTTGTCTTTCTTTTCCTAGACTGAAATTAAAGGATACCTGGACTTTAAACAGAAGGTACTTTACCTACATTTATGTGGTACATTTGACGTTAGAGGACTGGCTGATATTTATGAAAAATTAAAGACTGATCTGGGTTCAAAAGTATGTTTTACATAGTTTTTTTATTTTTAAATTATGATGGTATGTGTTGTTAATAGTTTGTTATTTATTTTATTTCTAGGGATACCTTAAAGAGTGGGCCAAGTTACGACATCACTATGCCCGATCACTTCTTTTTTTGTTCAGTGTCTCACATGTACTGGTATGCTCACATCCTTCACTTGTATTTGATACAAGTTACATACGTCTTTTTCGTGCCTTAGATAGTGTCCGGTACGTATATCTAAACGAGTCAACTTGAGGGCCAAATTTTTTGTGTGAATGAACAGAAATTGTGAATATTTTTCTGTTCAGCCAAAAAGTTCAAGGATCTATTGGTGATATCATCTCTACTATATCTGGTGTTCCAAAGGATTGGGTTCAGTATGGAAGATTATGTACACCTCGTTTACTTTTTCTATTTGAAAAGTGCCCTGCATCTATCAAAAAGCAAAGTTTATCTGAAAATGGGTTTGTGTCATTTATATGAACTTTTTTTTAAAATCTTTGGATTTCCAGAAACTAAAATTGGTTAACGTTTCTATTTTCTACAGAGAGACACCTGGATCAAATAGAAAGGTGCCTGCTATTAAGAAGCTGGAGCATGCTATGGAGGATCAAATTTATCATGTTTTGCGTAAAAACCGAATCATATCTAAGAGCAGGTTGAAATATATTTTATTATTACTTTTATTCTGTCATACAGTGTTGTCTGACAGTTAATATCAAATTGCTTATTTTCTTTTCTTTTCAGTATGAATAGTCTCTTTGCTATCCCAGCAAATCAGGAATTTGTTTTTATTCCTACATCCAGGGATTCAATGCGTGACTCAAGAACAGAACTCATAGACAGTGTCATCAGCATGTGTAACGGCACATCTTTTGGTCCTGAACAACAAGATGAACATTCTTTCCATTCACCATCATTCCTAAATGAAATGAACTTAAATCGTAAGAACTTGTTATGGTGGTCTATGTCTGACCCAAATTAAAAGGGGATCTTCATCGTTTATGTTTTTTCTCTTTAGGACATTCCTTTAAAGGATTTTTGCAACAGCACATAGAGCAAGCATTTTCTAAAGGTTTTGATGATAATGTTGGCAGACATTCTGCACCAACATTTTTTGAAGTACGTTAAAAAGAAACACCTATCTTATCATAGTTATAAAAACACTTGTGTAAAAATGGTTTTATACCACTAAAAATACATAATATATATTTCTTTCTTGTAGGTTCCAAAGTTCAGTTTATGGCTGGAAGTTTCCAAAAAAGTGTTTGAATTTTCCACATCACCCAAGTCAGCTTCTAACTCAAACCAAAGTGCTATGCTCCATGGCTTGCTTGACACCGATGTCAAATTCAGTGAAAGTCGCTGTGGAAAGGTGCTGCCACTTGCCATAGCAACATACCAGGAAAATCTACCAACTCACTATACCAGAGAATATCATGATGGAAGGGTAAGAAACATTTTTCTCAATTTTTTGCTGTTTTCTGTTTTTAAAGTGGAATGAAAAACCTTAAAACCCACTTTAGAAAACTACAACTGCTTATTAAAATTTTTACAGTTAGCTCATGCCTTGTCAGTATTTGCTGTCCATGCTCGGGGGCCTCTCTTTGAGGAATATGCGAAGCAGGTGGAAACCGAGTGTGAAGCCCATTGGAAAGCAGGCAAGCAGATGTGCCAGGTGTTAAGCCTTACTGGCAATCCATGCACAAAACCTTTACACAAAGGTGGAGGTGATGGTGCAGGAGGAGGGGAGCTCCAAGAAGAAGAGGGGTGAGTTGTCCATTTCTACCCAGGACAGTTTAAATTTATCACAACTTGTTTAAATTTTATCACATTTCACAGGAGGGATCACTCTCAGTTACCGTTAATGGAACATTGTAGTGGAGTCGTGTATGTTTCTGCTTGTAACTGTGGAAGAAAGCAGGGGCCAAGAGAGGACCCATTCAGTATGAGAACTTCAAACCATGACTTCTATACAGTTTTAGGAAAGGATTGTGGCTGTTGTGATCTTGAGTCCATTACTTTTCCTGTTTTCACTCCTAGTACTAAAGATTTTCGGTAAAAATATGTTTTTCTTATCTTTTTTTCTTCTTCTTATAAACATTTAAATTTGACAGTTAGTTTTAAATCAAATTTGTCTTGTGAACAGGGCTGCTCAGTTGTTTTCAAATAAGAAAGCAGGAAAGGCTAATACTGAACCGCGGGATACTGAGGCCACTACTCCTCAAGGAAATACTCAAGGACTTAGCTTTGGTATGTACATGTGAGCAAAATTGGTACTCTTATTTGCTAGCTAGATGACAAACAGTCTTATCTAGTAATCTGGTTTAATAGTTGTGAACTCTCTCATACCCTAAGCAGCTTATGTCTCTGGACCATCCGGTGGTAGTGATATTATAGCAGAAGAAACAAGTAATCTAATTCCTGCAAAGACTGATAGTGAAACTGACAGTGGAAGTAATGCTATAGTGATCCAAGTTTCTGACACTGATTCGGAAGGTTCCAAAGGTAAAATCACTTCTATGTTTTTTTAGGTTTAAATCGTCTAAATATATTTTTTGAAATTTGTAATGGTTCCATTCCTCTCAAACTTATTCTTTCACTCTGCTCTTTGTATTGCTAAAAAATGATTGTTCCATTTTTCAACAGAAAAATGTTTGGTGCGTCAGCCATCTACAACAGAATACTTGCCAGGAATGCTTCATTCAGAATCTCCTCTTGGACTTCTTCCACAATTTCCTTCATGGTCATTAGTGTGCCTTGGACCATCAAGTTTGTATTCCCACAATCTTGGTCTTCAAGAGCAACAACAGGCGGGCCTAATGCCTGGATCTGCATATCTACTACCTTGGGATTTGACTGTCAGGTTTGCGCACAACTTTACTTGCATTTGTTATTGCAGTTACTCTATTTTGCTTTGGGGTAATCTCTCATACTGAATATATCCCCTTAGGCTTGAGCATCAACAGGACCGCCCTAATGCATGGCCGACGGTTGGTGATGCTGCTTTCACAAGAGGGAATAAACCCCTAGCAAGCAGCGTCCTTCAGAGACCACGTAAAACAAAACGTGATACTTCTGAATTTGTTGTGAAAATATTTGTTGGAGTAGAGTATGAATGTCCACGCGGCCATCGCTTCATGTGTTCAGCACCAGACAAAGTGCTCAAGACTAGTGGTTCTGGACTTGTAAAGGACAATGGTAACAAAATAACTGGAAATGACATGCCTCTTTACTTTCCATGTCCATGCAAGTAAGTTCACAGAAGTGTCACAGTTAAGGAACGGAACCTGTCATCATCCTAATGTTGTTTCTTTTGCATTGTTTCCAGAAACAGCAAACCACTGATAGCACAATTAATGCGTGTTCATGTTGTCACTCCTAAAGCCCCTGTACATGTCACACTGAATCCCAAAGTACAGCCTGCACCATCACCCTGTCCCATATTTGGACCAGGCTGTGAGAAACCTATCAGGCTCTCTCAAAGTGCTTACTGGATTTTAAGACTTCCGTATCCTTTGTTGGGATTTCTTTTGTCTTTCATTAGTTATTTGTTTTCTAAGGGAAAATTTCACAGTATTACTTCCTTAGCATTTTGACAGTTATGTATATGTGGGTGACCAAGGTCCTTACATCTCACCCAAGGAACCTGTTCCAATAAGTTATGGCCGACTTTTAGCAGGAATGTATGGCATCATGGAACTATCTCCTACTGAAAAGACATGATAATCTTTACTGGTTTGTACTCAAAACTTTGTACTTTTTTATTATTGATAAAAACAACTGGATGAATAAAACATAAAGAATAAAGGTATCAGTAGTTT